TTTAATTACTGTGATAGGTCGGAGTGTTGATTTAAATACCGCTACGTAACTGATTTTTGGGCGATGCTAGGATGGTTGATTACTGCGGCGATCGGTAGTTTAATATTCGTTTTTAATCTAAGACCCTTAGATCGGGTAAGAGATATCGGAAATCGGATCGTAAATTTTAATATAGACGTCACGAGCAATTTCGATGATTGTTAGACTAATTAGTGATAACAATAGATCACAGGTATTATCAAGTATATACATAAGAGTAATTTACTATGAATAGTGTTCTTTTACTTGTCTCTGGTTTTCTTATAAGCGATAACCTTTAACTACTATCGGGGCAGAAATTGGGTCTATTATAAACGGTTTGGGTCAGAGGGAACAATTATTGAGGGAACAACTTCTACTATTTGTTTTCGAAGTTTTAAATTCAAATGAATTCTTTTTATTCAAATATGAGCGGAGGGCTCTTATATACTAAATTTTACAGAAGACAAAAAGATAAAATAAAAATTTATTCAATCCATCGTCCAAAGAGTCGTGGATTCTATGGAATCCATGGAGTCCATTCTATCGATTTCCCACCTTTGCTAGCTATAAGTATAAATTACAGCCGAAAATAGAAAAAAATAAAAATAGAAATAGCACAGCCCAATTCTGGATATTAAACCATAGCTGCCACAACAAAATTGTCACGGCAGATCCTCGATTTTGATTGGCTAACGACCGAGAATCTTCAAATTTTGGCCGCATTACATAATTGTTTACTAATTTCCTACCGGAATTAATTTTTTGATTTTTTCATTACAAAAATAGAAATTTTTATAAAATAAGCGCACTTTATGGTAAAATTGGTCCAGAAACAATTTTCACTTAATGGCGGCTGCGATTTCATTAGTAAAATTACGAGTAATTCCGGCATAATTTTTTGATCGTTGCTCTTAGCCAATCAAAATCGAGAATCTGCAGTACCATTTTGTGTTTAATCTATTGGGTGATGTTGCGCCCAGTCGCCCGTCACAACGTACAACATAAGCGGATAAATCCTATGAAATACGTATAACGGTCTTTCTATCTAATTGGGAGAATCAGATCCATATGCCAAGATAGTTCAGGATGGTGAACAAAAATAAAATAGGTGTGTATACAATAATCAGAATAGTAATTAATTATAATCAATATGAGAAATCAAATAGACATGCGAAACAATACAATATCAAATTTATGATATACGATACAATTAGAAGAATTCACTCAGAAATCTTTATTACTGTATTATAAAGGAGGATCACTCAGAATTAGCATAGTTAACCTCTAGTTAACCTAATTAACCTCAATTAGCCTAGTTAACTTAATTCACCTGGAGTACAATCAAGGCGAATTCAAAGGACTTTTATACATGAGATAATTCCGCAGTTATCATTGAATGCGTAGAATGAATTCCCTTGTAAAGGTTTGGAGAGAACAAATACACGATGTCATTAAGGTCATTGATAAAAATTCTACAACATTCCATCTCTTTAAAATTCCCTTACGCAACCCTCAATGATCAATGATACAATCAAGATCTTTACTTTCCATCAGTATCGCGATACTACTTACTATAATTGGAAGTAATCGCAATCAAACTATCATTGACTAAACAAGATAAAGCGTTGCACTAATGCAGTCAGCTTTGAGAATTAGATGAAAATAAATAAAAAAAATAGTAAAGAATTATTTTTATTTTATTACTTATATTAGCACAATAAGTATATTGTATCTTTTATAATATAGAGAACAATAAGAGAGCACAAAATTATGATCCAAGAAAATGCTACACATACTGCATACGAGATAGTGACTACTGTACACAGCATATAACACTATATTAAAAGTGAGGATCTCATGCACATTGCACAAACTACCATTGTATACTCAATAAAGCGCCAATAAGCGCACTTTATATATTAAGGTAAATTCAAATATATATATATATATCGAAAATACGTATGCTTGATATGTACGTAATTGGATAAGGCTTTGACTCCCAATTTGGGCGTAGATCGACAAAATAAACATCGGATTGAGATTTCTTTGAACAAGCGAAAGTCTCGCTCAAATTGATGATTATCAATTAATCAGCACGGCAAAAAATCCAAAGACAAAAGAAATAGAAAAAGAATAAGCAAAGATACTCGCAATGTGAATCTACAGTAGGATTTCGTATTTCATAATATTTTGATATTATTTATATCGATACATGGTTAAATTCACTCGTTAGTTTTTCTACGCTGATGCTCTGCTCAGCTTAACTTAGCTCAGCTCGGCTCAAAGCAAAAACATAGGCAAGCAAATATACAACGCGATAAAAGTTGTGATACGGAGGTTTGCCTTTTTTTCGTTTAACTAAGATAGTAGCATTAGCTAGTCACCGTAAATAGAGCAAAGTGAAGCAAATTTAGGAAAGTCAGGTTTCACAAGCTTAAGTGTATCGTTTTACAGTGTTAAAAACAATTAATTAATACATAAAAAATAGGAATAGCGATAGCGTCAATCATTAACTACACGGGATAATTATAATTATGATACGTAGTATGCAAAGACAATTAAGGAAAACTATACTAAGTATATAATAAGAAATAATAAAAAAAAAACAATAAAAGAATAATAAGGAAGAAAACAACGGTTTGCAAAAAGATGTGCCATCTGAATATCATAGTGTCATGTGAAATCACGGGAAATTTGCATACGTATTCGGTTATATTTTTTTAATTAATTTTAATATCGATATTAAAGATTTCCAACAAATATAGAAATTATTATTGCTCATCGTGGAAGCTATTCCTTCCGCTGAACGAACAGCTTCCGTGGCTAATAATACATTCTATGCTTAACGACGTAGTACGGTATGATAGGGTTGCCGTAAAAGCCACAGGGCAGAACTTTTCGAGTATCGTATAGGCTTCATTATATTCTCTCCTTTTTTTTTTTTTTGGTGTGGTGGGTAGTGCAAGCAGAATAAAGAAAACAACAGATCATCAGGTTACTCAAATATCTATTTCGTCATGAACAAGTTTGGTGACTTATTATCACATGGAAAATCCAGTGACTCGCAATAATATACCGCCTTGTGACTTCGTTCACAAGCAGATCTTAATTATGATAAACAATTGTGGAAATCCGAAAACAGCTCAAATATACCATAATTGAAATTTTGCATTATCGTTATTTAGGAGATGATTGAACTTCTTTATTAAGGTATTGGATGCCAATTTAGATACCGATACGTATTTCTGTGATCTGCATCCATTTTTGAGTGTACACTTTGAATGCATAGTTTTACGTTGCACAGCATAATTACATTTATTTATCTACGTACGTACGTAACGTTTATTGCCTAATACATATGCGCCTTTTTAAATTACTTATGAGCAATAAGTTAGATAATACAGTTTCTGAAATACTCAATATGGTGAGTTGTCAATGGTTTTGTCCCAAGTTCGTGCGTACGAACTTACGGTATGACAGTAGTGATTCGCATTTAAATTTTGACACTCACCTCAATGATTATCTAACTGGATTTCTATTTTATTTGTTACACAGAAAAACGAAAAATTTCAAGATAAATCTTATTTAGCTATTTTAGCTCATTATTTCAATTTTCATAACTTATATGGATCAATATTTGTTGCAATTTATTTCAATGATTTTGATTATATCTTACGAAATGTGTTTTCACAATTATATAAATATCTGAAGAAATTTCTCTTACTATTTGGGCATCATTTCAGACATTCCACGTTCATATACTTATTAAAATTTTTATTAAAAAAATGAATAAAGATAAAATATATAAAACTTGCTGTTTATTTTGGTGTGAAATTGATAGAGACAGTCCCAAAGAAAAAGAATCTCTACGTTTCAGAAGATTTAGAATGTTTTGTCTCTTCATTGTGTATTGCTTAATTATAGCTTACATTATTAACTACCTCCTTAGTTTTTCTGGTCCTTCAACACTACAAATGTCAAGATCAATTGCTGATGTACCTGTTCCTCGTAAGTTTCATTAAGAAATTAATTATGTTTATTTACCATTAACATAATATTATTATGCTCTTTATTATTTAGTTGTCGTTTTTTTCCCCGGATCCAGTCCGATCAATAACATTTTATGTTGTATGTTATTATGTTGTTAAATGTTTCTTTTAATTCTTTTCTATCAACATAATTATTATATCTAATTTTCATCAAAATTTTCATTTAAATTTAGTTGATTCAATTGATACATCTGATACATCTGTTACATCTGATTGTAGTCAAAATATCCAAAATTACACAGATTACTTCGTTTATCTTAGCAATACTTCATTTTCGAGTTTATCGACTGTTGGGTTTGAAATTTACACAGTTGATTTAAGTAACTCTTCTTATCCAATCGTAATTCTACTTGATTCAGCGACATATACGCAATTTGGTGATTATTTTACTGGTGGTAGCATAAGTACAAAAGGCTCAAAGACCACAAGTAATATTCAAGACAAACTTTCTTCAATAGTATTTGAAAATTTTTACACACTTTCGCCATTTCAAGTAACAAAATTTAATATTCATAATGTTGATTTTTGTTTATTTATTATTGTTTATAATTTATTTTATTAATTTAATTAATTTAATAATATTTTATTCAGTATAATTATATATTTTTAGAGCGCATTCTATATTCAGATCTCGACACTTCTTTAGATAAAGCTAGGTTTACTAAAGTTGTCAGTAAATCTTCCAAACATAGAGTTAAATATTTTGGATTGTCAACTAAGATATGTAAGCATGAATTTTAAATTCGTTGTTTGTAATAGTTACTTGTTTATATGGATATTTATTATCTTATTATCACAATTTACCAATAGTTTCGCTTGGACAATATAGTAATGCTGATTTTCCGAATGTAACTATACCATATACTACCTTACAAATTTCTAATATGTCATCAATTTTGACTACTTATACGCAAGTAAAGTAAGTTAATAAATTTTAATAAATTCTTCTAATATATTAAACATTAATATAAATCTTGCCTACTTAAATTAACCGTATTAACTTAAACTTAGCAAAGTGAGCTCGACCACTGTTATTGGCTTCCTAACTGGACTTGGTGGTGCAACTGCTTTCCTTTTGGTTATATATAAATTCCTTTTCGGCGGCTACAAGCCACCGGGCTTATTAAAACCATTCTTACCTGAAGAATGGACTACAATGTCTGCGGCTTCGGATGAAGAGGCTCCGAATACAAAGACTACGACAGATAGCAAAGGATAGTTATATTGTCTAAATTTTAAGAAGGTGACTACTGATATTTTAGATGACTGCAGCTATAATTTGGCCTTCTGAGAAATTTAACTCAGATATTATTAGATTACCAGGCAAATTAAATAACAATAGCTAGTTTTAATCCTATAATATAGCGTAAAATAATGACAAACTTTTGGGACGGGACTTTCTTTTTTCTTACTTAATTTTATTGTATCAACTGTTTTTTTTTATTTTTTTTAGTTAGCTAATTTTTCATATATAATTTTTAAACTTTAAATAAAATTTTATGTTATAGTTATTTTAGTGCATATACTTTATATAAGTATAAATAAGTCTTATAACTAAATTCAAATAAGATTAAATCATGCGTACCCGTAAAATTAATGTAGGCACAAAGCTTAAATACAAGATAAAAAGTAAATATTTAATATCTTTTTTAAAAATTTTACGTAATATTCAAATCTTATATATCTTTGAAATAATATGTGCAAATCCTTAGATATGATTGGATAGCCATTTTACGCATTGTCACGGGCAAAGAAGGATCGTCAAATTGGCGCAGTAATCTTGTGACTAAACCGGATATAATATTGGAATTCTGGATCAACGGTTATATGAGGCTTACCTGCCAAAGAATAGAAAGGATAACCTACGTGAAATCCGAAGAAGAATTCTGAAAAGAACAAACAAAGATCAAGCAAGCAGATCTTGAAGATAGACAAAGAGAAGACTTCGGTGGAAGGAATTATTATTATAATTGTTATAAGCCCATTGATGTATAATAGCTTCGCCCTGATTCTTTAATGATGTATTATTAAAATTATCTCTAAGCCCCTTGAGTTCGTTAGGATAGAATAATCTATAAAAGAGTTGGGAATTCGCGTTAGTCAAAGGATATCCTACGGGATTGTAACATAAGGTAGATATGCCTAATTCGGCGCGGTTAACATTGCCAATAGTAAACTTTTAAAAAATTATTAAAAAAGAGGCCAAATTTTTACTAAATATGTTACGTCATATTCCAAAATAACCTTTTTATTTAAAAAAAAAAAAAGTTCAACCCAAAAAAGGTAGAACCTTATTCTATTTAAGAAATCCATCTAAAAATCTCGATCATCAAGCGATCGTCCTAAATCGGCGCACTTGAGTACTACTTAAAATTTTTTTGTCTAGCATTTTTAAGACGCTGCTTTTCCTCTTCTATACGTTTTTTTTCAATTCTTTTTTGTCTTTGCGCTTCTTGTCTTTGCGCTTTTTCAGCCTCACGTGCTATTTTTTTTTGGGCAGCAACTTCTTTTTTGTGTTGCTTTTCTTGGAGCTTTTTTTCTGCTTCTTCTTCCGCTTCTCTTAACTGTTGCAAGGAGTTTTCGTTCGTAAGAAGCTGGGAGAAGGGCATAGTTTTTCTTTTTTTTCTTATAGGCAGTTGTGATTCACTTTGCCCTTCTTCAACTTCCAGATCTTCAGAATTATGACGGAGGGGATACCTAAGTATTAGATGTAAGGGACTGGTGCCGGGATTCTTTAAGGTTTCAAGTTCTTCTTGCAAGTGCTCAACTGTTTTATTCAGGAGCTCAATTTCTGATATCAACTCTTTTTTTGTAGGGTTTGTTTTAGTAAAGCGTGGATGAATTGGAGCTGACGATGAAACCGTAGCTGAAGACGAACTTGAAAAAGTTGGAGATGAAGAAGTTGAAGACGAAGAAGACAAAGACAAAAAAGGTAAAGCCGAAGAAGATGGTAAAGGCGAAGAAGGTGGTAGGGACAAAGAAAATGATGAGGACGAAGAAGTTGGCTGCTCAAGAATTTGCATAATATCGGTTCTTTCTGTAGTCAATGAAGGTTCAAGAAGATCTGGGCTAATAGCATTTGGATTGAATGGCCATATGCCCCTAGCTCTAAAGGCATTACATACTGCGGTAGGTGTGTAGGTTGTAATATAAGCTGACCCTAGAACTTCAGCGAATGTGTACTTGGTTACAAGTTTTCCATTATTTTTAATTCTGAACTTTTCACACTCTTTACTATAAAATCTTTTTAGTGCAGCAAATGGTAATTCAGCTGGCTGTAAAATGTGAGTCGTATGAGGGGGAAGCGTATAAAGAAGTATGTTGTTTCTATAACAGTAGTCGACACTAGTATAGTTTACATGACTCTTATGGCCATCCAAAATCAATAGGACAGGACGTATAGGCGAAATAGAACTAACGAAATGTTCAATGTATTTTTGAAATAGGCACTCTCGCATATAACCCGTTTCAGTAAAGCCCATGACAGAGCTAGTGGGGGCGCCATTTAAAAGACCCGGGATCATTCGTTTACCTTTAAAGATAAATAATGGTGGGATATATGTCCCGGCAGCTGAGATAGTTGGACATACAGAAATATGTTCATGGGAGTTGCCAGACGAAACCTGGTGAATTTGGCGTGCTCCCTTTCTGGCCAAAACTTTTTGAAGACTGGGTTCAATGACGAATCCTGTCTCATCCTAAACAAAAAAAAATCAAATACAAAAAAAAAAAAGAAAAGAAAAAGAAAAAAAAAACAAATCAAAAATCAAAAAATAAAAAATAAAAAATAAAAAAAAAAAAGCAGGACCATGTTCCAAATTCGATCAGGGGTTAGTAAATTTTCTTGAATAATTTTTTCAAGCTTGGCAAAATGATCTCTAACAATAATAGGATTGGCTTTTTGTGCGCGGGCTTCATTTAGGGCTTGTGGGACACGAAATGAAAGCTCTGGGTGGTCCTTCATGAAGCGCCGCCACCATTTTTGGCCAGGACCATTTTCATTAAAAGGATTGGGCTGCTTTCTTTTACGAACAATATCTATCACACACTGGCTTACGCCAGATCTTGTTAATCCGAAACCAAGCCTTTGCATGTTAAGACAGTAACCAACAAGCTGTGCTTCTTCATGGCTTGTTAAAACTTTAGTACGACCTGGGGAAGGAAGAGGGCCATCATTTTCGATAGCACGTCTAAGAGTGGTTTCTGCTATACCATAATCACGTGCAATACTTTTGACGCTTGGGGGTTTAGAATCATTTGATAAATCTTTAATTGCCTTAAGGGCATTAGTAATAGCGTCGTGTCGGGCTTTATGGTCGTTACACTTTGTCATAATTTATTTAAATAAACTATTATTGTTGCTCTTCGCTGCGTAGCAGTAAAAAATCTTTATTGTAATTGTGTATAGCGTTTTACAACTAATTACAAGTGATATTACAAGAGATATTACAATAAAATATTTTAAAGGTATTTAATTGACTAGTCTAAATATTGTGTAAATTACGCGATTTTTATTTTGCTAAATGGCTCTTATCTTTTATAGTTGAGCTTTATGTTTTTAAACACGTAACAAAAGTCGGTAAAAATAAAAGCGTGAGACTTAAATTGATGGGAACCGCGACTAAAAATCATTTTGCAAAATTGACCCAGATCAGAGCTGCAGGGGACACTTAAATGTGTTAATAATGATAAATACTGCGCGATTATAATGATAAATACTGCGCGATTATAATAATAAATACTGCGCGATTATAATAATAATTAGTAAATACATTGAGCTTACCAATGCAACAATTTTATTAACAAAGAAAAATGACTTTTATCACGTTGTCCTCTCTTGTTAAAATTTTAAATAAAGAGAATTTATCTAATATGACAATTTCTCGGGATCTATCGACTGGAATCACGTGATTTCGGTACCATTCGAATCGTCACATCGAGACGAATCGAACGGTACTAAAATCACACGAATCCAATCGGTAGATCCCGAGATATCTTAAACGCGCCGAATTAGGCACCGCGCCGAATTAGGCATACCTACCTTATAACAAATAATAATATTCTCATACTTCCCTTCTATAAACCTCTTGATACATCTTTTAATAAAATATTGACAAATCACCAACGTCACGCCTCTGGCGAGTTGCCTTATATCATAAAATCTTATATATTTTCGTGTAAACATTAATAAAAGGATACAATTCACCCCGTAACATTTGGTGGTGACTGTGAAATTAGAACTTCTTAACTTAAAAACGTGTTATACCAACCTAAAAATGAATAACGAACAATTCCAACAATTTATGGAATTGATGACTAAATCGGTTAGTAAGGACGAAAATAAGGTCCCACTAAAGGAAAATAATCTGGTAAAGGTCAAGTACTTTTATAGTACCGACGATAAAGATCCTTTCGAATGGTTTGATGACTTCGAAAGAGCCGCCGAAGCCAATAATTGGACGGAAGATCGTAGAATGAAGATCGCGTCTGGGTATCTGAAAGAAATGGCGGCTGTATGGTATAAAGCAGTTAAAGAAGGTATCGAATATTAGAAGGTAAAAGAAGACAATGAAACAGACAGGAGCAAAAGTTTTTATCATTTATTTGTAGAACAATTTGCTCCCAAAGAATATCAACATCATTGGCAGATAGAACTATATGAATTATGGCAAAAGGATACGAAAAAAGTGGATATCTATGCCACTAAATTTACAAAGTTACTTAATTGGATTAATGTCGATAATGGCTTTTCAGATGGGTTTATAGTTGAAATGTTCTTGAATGGCTTGAAAGGCAATAATGCCACTTTAGTATCCGTTGCCGCACCTAAAAATTTAAATGAAGCCATCGCTGCAGCAAAAAGAGTTGAAGCTGGAGGAAATTATGGCCGACGACCTTCTGAAACAATAAATATGCAACAACAAAGGGGGAATAAGTTAAGTAACCTAAAGAAAAGTATTGAAGGTCTAGCATTAAATTATGCGACCTTGTCTGCTCAATTAAAGGATACAAGAGTAAATCATCCTCACAATAATTTTTATAGAGGAGGACGACCTCAAAATAGTTATAGGTGGAAAAGAAAGAAAGAAATTGAATATAATAAATGTGGTGAAAGGGGCCACATGGCTAGAAATTGTATGTCAGAAAAATCAAATTATCCCTACCCTAACAAAAGAAAAGAAAATGATAAGACAAAAACTATTAGTTTTTGTGAATTAG